TTTTGCAGATCTAGCTTCTTGCCACAAATTTTTGGAAAATGAAGAAAACAAAAACATATTTTCTCTTTTCTTTTTTTTATATTTCAAAACCTTGTGAGAAAAAATAAGATCTGCAAAACACTCACCATACCTCTAAATTCCTTGGGGTGTCTACTTTCCAAAAAAGGGGTCATATGGGGGGTTTGGTGCTATCCTGGCATTTCAAGGCCTCCGAAACTGTGATAGGTAGTGAGGAAGTAAAATGAGGAAGTTATGCACCTTCAGGCTTTCAAATTGGTCATTGGATATCAGGCTCCTGTATGTGGCTAGGCTCGCAAAAATTCTCACATGTGGTATCCCCATACTCGGTAGAAGTAGCAAAATGTATTTTGGGGAGTAATTCCACATATACCCATGGCTTTTGTGAGAACTATATAATTTAAATGACAACTTTGTGTAAAAAAAAAAAAAAAAAAAAAAAAAAAAAAAAAAAAAAAAAAAAAAAAAAAGTGTCATTTTCCAAAAAATTTGGAAAAAAAAAAAAAAATCTTCCATGGACTCAATATGCTTCACAGCAGACAGCGTAGGGTGTCAACTTTCCAAAACAGGGTCATTTGGTTTTTTTTGTACTATCCTGGTATTTTAGCTCCTCAAGAAATGTGATGGGCAGTCAGAAAGTAAAAGCTGTGCAAAATTAGAATATTGTGCAAAAGTTCATTTATTTCAGTAATGCAACTTAAAAGGTGAAACTAATATATGAGATAGACTCATTACATGCAAAGCAAGATAGTTCAAGCCGTGATTTGTCATAATTGTGATGATTATGGCTTACAGCTCATGAAAACCCCAAATCCACAATCTCAGAAAATTAGAATATTACATGCAATCAATAAAACAAGGATTGTACATAGAACAATATCGGACCTCTGAAAAGTATAAGCATGCATATGTACTCAGTACTTGGTTTGGACCCCTTTTGCAGAAATTACTGCCTCAATGTGGTGTGGCATGGAAGCTATCAGCCTGTGGCACTGCTGAGGTGTTATGGAAGACCAGGATGCTTCAATAGCGCCCTTCAGCTCTTCTGCATTGTTCGGTCTCATGTCTCTCAGCTTTCTCTTGGCAATGCCCCATAGATTCTCTATGGGGTTCAGGTCAGGCGAGTTTGCTGGCCAATCAAGCACAGTAATCCCACGATCATTGAACCAGGTTTTGGTGCTTTTGGCAGTGTGGGCAGGTGCCAAGTCCTGCAGGAAAATGAAGTCAGCATCCCCATAAAGCTTGTCTGCGGAAGGAAGCAGGAAGTGCTCCAAAATCTCCTGGTAGACGGCTGCGTTGACCCTGGACTTAATGAAGCACAGTGGACCAACACCAGCAGATGACATGGCTCCCCAAATCAACACAGACTGTGGAAACTTCACACTGGACTTCAAGCATCTTGCAGTGTGTGCCTCTCCGTTCTACCTCAATACTCTGGGTCCTTGGTTTCCAAATGAGATGCAAAAGTTGCTCTCATCAGAAAAGAGGACTTTGGACCACTGAACAACAGACCAGGTCTGTTTTTCTTTAGCCCAGGTAAGACGCTTCTGATGTTGTTTGTTGTTCAGGAGCGCCTTGACAAGAGGAATACGACATTTGAAGCCCATGTCTAGGATCCGTCTGTGTGTGGTGGCTCTTGATGCACTAACTCCAGCCTCAGTCCACTCCTTGTGAAAGTCCCCAACACTTTTGAATGGCCTTTTCCTGACAATCCTCTCCAGGCTGCGGTCATCCCTGCTGCTTGTGCACCTTTTTCTTCTACACTTTTCCCTTCCACATAACTTTCTATTAATGTGCTTTGATACAACACTTTGGGAACATCCAACTTCTTTTGCAATTACCTTTTGAGGCTTTCCCTCCTTATGGAGGGTGTCAATGATGGTTTTCTGCACAACTGTCAGGTCAGCAGTCTTTCCCATGATTGCGATTCCTACTGAACCAGACAGAGACCATTTAAAGGCTCAGGAACCCTTTGCAGGTTTTATGGCTTAATTAGCTGATTAGAGTGGGACACTTTGAGCCTAGAATATTGCACCTTTTCACAATATTCTAATTTTCTGAGATTGTGGATTTGGAGTTTTCATGAGCTGTAAGCCATAATCATCACAATTATGACAAATCACGGCTTGAACTATCTTGCTTTGCATGTAATGAGTCTCATATATTAGTTTCACTTTTTAAGTTGCATTACTGAAATAAATGAACTTTTGCACGATATTCTAATTTTTTTAGTTTCACAACATTTTTTTTTAAACATTTGTTTATAGCGCCAAAAATTAAAAGCGCACAGGTGATCAAATACCACCGAAAGAAAGCTCTATTTGTGTGAAAAAAAGGTTCCAAATTTCATTTATGTACCATATTGCATGACCGCGCAATTGTCAGTTAAACTAGTGCAGCGCCATATAACAAAAAAAACGGCGTAAATTGCAGTATCTATACCATAGTTTGCAGACACTAACTTTCACACAAAGCAATCAATATACACTTGTTGGGATTTTTTTCTACCAAAAACATGTAGCAGAATACATTTTAGCCTAAATTTATGACGGAGTTTGCTATATTTTTTTTTCTATAGCCGAAAGTAAAAAATATTGTTTTTTCTTCAAAATTTTCGGTCTTTTTTGTTTATAGCGTGAAAAATAAAAAGCGCACGTGATCAAATACCATCAAAAGAAAGCTCTATTTGTGTGAAAAAAAGGATGTAAATTTCATTTGGATACAGCATTGCATGACCGTCCAATTATCAGTTGAATTAATGCAGCGCCGAATAACAAAAAGAGGCCTGGTCATTAAGAGGGGTAAATCCTCAGGATGGCAAGTGGTAATGGCGCAACTATGTGGCAAATGAGGTTTAATGTTGATAAATGTAAGGTTATGCACTTGGGGGCTAAGAATATGCATTCATCATATATACTAGGGGGAGTACAACTGGGGGAATCAATGGTGGAGAAGGATCTGGGAGTTCTGGTAGATCACAAGCTTAATAATGGCATGCAATGTCAAGCTGCGTTTTCTAAAGTGAGCAAAATTGAGAGAGAAGAGAGAGATCATTTAACCCCTGTACAAATCATTAATAAGGCCTCATCTGTCATATGTAGTTCAGTTTTGGGCACCAATTCACAAAAAGAACATTGGGGAACTGGAGAAAGTGCAGAGAAGGGCAACAAAACTGATACGAGGCATGGAGGAGCCCAGCTATGAGGAAAGATTAGAGGAGCTGAATTTATTCGCTCTTGAGAAGAGGAGATTAAGGGGGGATATGATCAACATGTATAAATACATCAGTGGTTCATATAGTGAACTCGGTGTAGAGCTATTCACCGTGAGGTCATCACAGAGGACAAGGGGGCACTCTTTACATCTGGAGGAAAAGAAATGTAATCTCCAAAACACAGAAAGGTTTCTTCACAGTGAGAGCTGTGAAAATGTGGAATAGACTCCCTCAATAGTTGGTTCTGGCCAGCTCAGTGGATTGCTTTAAAAAAATGCTTGGATTCTCTCTTAGATACACAGACTATAATTGGATACTAACATTTATAGGTAAAGTTGATCCAGGGAACATCTGATTGCCGCTCGGAGGATCAGGAATTTTCTTTTTCCCTGCAGGAGCAAATTGGATCATGCTTTGCTGGGTTTTTTGCCTTTCTCTGGATCAACTGTGGGTAAAGGATTATAACTTTTTTTTTTTTGATGGTAGAACTGGATGGACTTTTGTCTTTTTTCAGCCAGACTAACTGTGTAACTAATTTGAATTGAAAATTCAAATTTCATTTTCAATACTGTGAAATCTGCCGTTTTCATGAAAATACCTGATCATGCCATGAAGGTGTTTATTTAGGCACTTCTCATTATAGGGTGGGGACTCTCTTCCAATTTCTCAACAGTACTCCTGTGTGGTCCCCGCTACAAAGGCTTGTGAAGGAAACTACAGGCAGTCTTCATAACACACACCATGTGTCCATGCTCCACTGTTATCGACCACCAGGAAATTCATCCTGGGAAATGCTATGCAGCATAATTGGCATTTCCAGATCTGCATCCCCAGTTGCTGCTGCCTCTATGGTGTCCCAGCCAGCCAAGAGTTCAGACAGTCAGCATTCAAACGAGTGTTACATGGCCCCTTCAAGTCCTTCAGCGTGGGTCCTGGCATGGCACTGTGGATCTGGCACCTGTCATAGGCTGCAGAGTTCCAGGCCCCTGTTTAAAGAAACGTGGCCGCTGAGGCACTTCCTCCTTTCTGACCTCAGTTGCTCCTGCTGGCCTACGTCCACTATTCCATGAACACAGCTGAGCAACATGAAAGGGCACGCCAGGATTCCTCTTGAACATCCCCAGGTACCTGCACTGCTGCTGGTATAGAATCCCCTCAGTCCAAACCCAATCTCTCAGGATACCTTTCGCTACATTCAGGCACCCCAAGGACAAAAATCATACAAGAACAGGAGGTCCCTAAACTCACCCAGGCTCACTTCCCGACAGCTCAAGAGAGCCCGTACTACAGACTACCCAATTTGACTGCCCCTGTTAAAAGGGATACTGTAGGTAGGATGCCCCTGCCACCTAGCACACAGAACTGACAGGAATCAGTGATCCTGTCCTGGCTAGAGGAAACACATATACTGGGGGTCAGGGTGGTGACTCAAGCTTTTTATAATGTGGATCATGCGTTTTCTGTTCTAGGTGGGAGGAGACTCTCATAATCCATTATGAAAAATTACTTGGGAAAGGTTTATGATGTGCTGTAGCAACTAAACATAATTTAGTTAGGGTTTATGTTATGTCATGAATGAAGCGTACTTTTGTATACCTCAAATAAAGCTCAAGGAATATATAAAAAAAAAAAGAGCTATGTGATGCACTGAATTGCACATACTTTGCTTGCAATTCTCAAACTGGTAGACCAATGAAACAAAAATGGTGCCAAGACTCACTCATACTCAACTCCAAATTTGAATACAGTTTATTAAAAACTTAATTACCGTTCCTGCAAGAATGTCATGAGGACAACAATCCAGGAGGTGACTTTTGCAGACACGATCATCTGTAAATTTTACGCGCTGACGAGTCTCATCGCCTAAAAAACATCAATGAGAGTTTTCATTAGAACAAATGAAGATAGAGCAAAAAAAAACAAAACAAAAACAAAGCACAACAAACAAAATACAGAAAAACACAATACTCAGCCATTGATCAGGTCAGCTAAAAACTTCCCAAGTACGTACTACAAAAGGGCTTATACACAATTAGGGTCGTAAAATGCCAGATCAGCTTATTTCTGCAGCAGGTCCAGCCTGGTGTTTTCATTTAGCTGGGGATCGTAAACCTGTACAAGTCAATGACAGGCTGACCCTATACACAGCTATCTGTATGTAACTGCACATGACGCAATTACCTGCATTCAGGGACAAATGTGTGCTCCCGGACTTAAACGGATTTATACTTCAACAATTTTGCATTAGTTATTTTAAGGTTGATAAAAACACCTAGCTTACACAGTTTTATAATATCAAATAAAGGAACCTTATAATCTTTGACCGCCATATTGCAAGATAAACAGTTTCAGGTTTCTGAGAACACAATTTTTGCACACCCACAAAAAAGTAAGCTCCTGCGGCCTATAGTTGACTAACCTATCAAAATGCCAGTACAATGGGCCACTTTTACAAAAGATAAAACCCATTTCTAGCAGCAAGGTGCAACTTAAGCTAGCTATACACTAGTAGATTTCTGAATGAACTTCCGAAGGAATATTTGAACAAAAATTCTTTGTACGTATGATGAATAGACAAACATCATTCAAAAGGAAAAGCAAATTAAATTTTGGAGTAAACATTTTGAACAATTAGAAAACCGAACAACCGTTTTTTAAAAGGAATCGTTTTAAATGAAATTCTAGTAGTGTATAGCCAACTTTATATTTTAACCACCTCAGCAAGCCTTTCTTGGTCACCATTATAGTATCATTTGGAAATGTGAGACTTGCCGTGCAATGAGCCGAATAAGAAATCTGTCACCCAGAAGCAGAACACAAGCAAAGCCAGGAAGAGGCTGAATATAATAAAAGGGGAAATATCTTCGGTAAAGCTAACCCACTGCATTTTTTCCCAGATTGGCTACTACTTATAAAACCTTGTGAGATAGAATGCTTGCCTTTTTTGGTGTGTCACATGTCAGCACTCCTGGCTGCTACGTTTACAATGGTAGTACAGTTTTCGGTGGGGTTGGGGGGGGCAAGGCAATGTTACAATGTGCTTGTATGCATCATATACTAGTACATTATGAAAACCGTATCTTAAAGTCCTCCAGCGTCGCTGACTGGGCTTCTCATCTTCAGCCGCTCTTTCTTCCTGATTCCTAGGCTCCGGCTATTTGACTGGCAGAGCTGTGATAATGTCACTCCCACGCATGCGCACGGGAGTCATGGCCACAACACATAGCTCTGAAGGGACTGCACGAGCATGTCATTCCTTCAGAGTGCATGCACCTTGCCGTCACTGGTTGCTACTCACTGGAATATCTCCTAACCGGGGCACATTTAGGAGATATTAACTTTACCTACAGGTAAGCTTTAATATCAGCTTACCGGTCAGTAAAAATACCAGAAATGAGTTTACTACCACTTTAAATCTGACAAGCCAACTGTCAACGTTACATCCCAAAATGCCACCCAAAAGCTTCCATAGACCCCACAGACACATCGGGGGTGCTTATGTATGAAAACCTTGACTGTACTACAAGTATTATGCCGCACACACAGAACAGCAAGAGTTCTAGGGTCATTTACAATTAACTCTGATGACCTTCTGTGGCTTAAATAGTATTTATGGAAAAGTTCTGAAAATACACAAATAAGTACTGCTATATCCTGAAGTGTTAAAGAAATTAAAATCAAAATAAATAAAAAACAGTACAGCACACACAAAAAAAATTGTAAATGATAAAAATAAATGTGTGGATATGATTGGAGAATATACAGTGGATATAAAAAGTCTACACACCCCAGCTAAAATGTCAGGTTTCTGTGAAGTAAAAAATTAGAAAGAAATTTCAGAACTTTTTCCACCTTTAATGTGACCTATAAACTGTACAACAAACTGAAATCTTTTAGGTGGAGGGAAGTAGAAATAAAAAACTAAAATCATATGGTTGCATAAGTGTGCACACCCTCAAACTAATACTTTGTTGAATACTTTGTTGATTTGATTCCAGCACTCAGTCTTTTTGGGTATGAGTCTATCAGCATGGCAAATCTTGACTTGGCAATATTTGCCCACTCTTCCTTGCAAAAACACTTCAAATCTGTCAGATTGCAAGGGCATCTCCTGTGCACAGCCCTCTTCAGAACACCCCAGGGTTTAGATCAGATTCAGCTCTGGGCTCTAGCTGGGCCATTCCAAAACTTTAATCATCTGGTGAAGCCATTCCTTTGATGATTTGGATGTCTGCTTTGGGTCATTGTCATGCTGAAAGATGAAGTTCCTCTTTATGTTCAGCTTTCTAGCAGAAGCCTGAAGGTTTTGTGCCAATATTGACTGGTATATGGAACAGTTTATAATTCCCTCTACCTTGACTAAGGCCCCAGTTCCATCTGAAAAGCATGATTCTGCCACCACCATGCTTCACTGTGGGTATGTTGTTCTTTTGGTGATGTGCAGTATTGTTTTTGAGCCAAACATATCTTTTAGATTTATGGCCAAAAGTTCAACCTTGGTTTCATCAGATCATAACACATTTTCCCCGCTTTTGGGAGACATCAGATGTGTTTTTGCAAAATTTATCCGGGCTTAGATGTCTTTCTTTGTAAGAAAAGGCTTCTGTCTTGCACTCTACTCCATAGCCCAGACATATAAAGATTTAAAGAATACGGGAGAGTGTTGTCACATGTACCACACTGCCAGTACTTGCCAGATATTCCTGCAGCTCCTTTAAATGTTGCTGTAGGCTTCTTGGCAGCCTCCCAGACCAGTTTTCTTGTCTTTTCATCAATTTTGGAGGGACGTCCAGTTCTTGGTAATGTCACTGTTGCACCATATTTTCTCCACTTGATGACTGTCTTCACTGTGTTCCATGGTATATCCAATGCCTTGGAAATTCTTTTGTACCCTTCTCCTGACTGATACCTTTTAACAATGAGATCCCTCTGATGCTTTTGAAGCTCTCTGCCGACCATGGCTTTTGCTGTAGGATGTGACTAAGAAAATGTTAGGAAAGACCTACTAGAACAGCTGAACTTTATTTGGGGTCAATCAGAGGCACTTTAAATGATGGCAGGTGTGTACGGACTGCTATTTAACATGATTTTGAATGTGATTGCTTAATTCTGAACACAGCTACATCCCCAGTTATAAGAAGGTGTGCACACTTATGCAACCACATTATTTTAGTTTTTTAGGTTTATTACACCCCAAATGATTTATCTTCGTCTCATTTTTTTTTACATATCAGAAACCTGACATTTTAACAGGGGTGTGTACTTTTTATATCCACTGTATAACAATTTATGCACTTATAATCTTTCTGAGATGTAGAGGTCACTTTGTTCTGGTGAATTGTCTACCCTCACAGATTACCACTTTTTATTTTACCAGAATAATGGGTATTATATAGGTGTGCACTAAAATTAATTTATTATGCATAGAATGCATGAAGGTTTAAAAAAAAAAAAAAAAAAAACCTTGAGCCTTTACAACCACTTTAAGATATCACAGAACACCTTCAGAGGTCTAGTGGCATCCAATGCCATGATGGTCAGTGCTGTTTTGGTGGAAAAAGGGGGACCTACTCAAAATAAGGGGCGTGGCTGATCGGTTTACATAGAAGCTGCTATACCTGCCAAAGGAGCTGTATTTTTGTCCATACAGTCCTGTGATTTACACAGTTTTCCTCTTGCAAATTAAAGCTGAACTCCAGATTAGGCAAATATTGTTTAAATACAAAAGTAATGTTTACTCTTATTTGAATCTTCGTGTGCTTTATGTATTTCTTTCAGATCTGTACTGTACAGTAATCCAGTGTAAAACCTTACTTCTGTGCAACAGCTTCCTGTAACAAAGACTGATCTTTATTTTCTGTTGGGCCCCTCACATAGTTTCTACCTGCACAGGGATATCACTGCAAACTCAGATATTACCTTGTAAAAGTAGCAAAGACATTTGGTGCGTGCATGCAAGGTGGATTTATATCCTTGATTATTGTGGGATATGTGTAAATGAAAGCTTGGTGACTGGAGTTCAGCTTTAAGAAATGCTTGCAGGCTGAGTTTGTCACCCTGCTCCCCCCTCCTATCAGCATGTTATTTGTTAGCACATGAGCACAACTGGTTCTCCCTTTGCGCAGTTTCTGATTCTCTGCCTGAGCTCTACTGAACAGGGAGATTTTCAAGAGGCTAAGTCAAATTTAGAAGCTTACATTTAAAATATACTAACCACAAACTATTGAATACATATCTGAAGTTCAGCTTCAAACTACAAATAAATCCAATGCTATGTTTCCAATATTGAAAAGAGAAAGGAGGCTTTTAAGCTTTTTTTGCCATATCGTCTCTGACAGAAAAAAATTACATTTTTTTTTTTAAATTAACGTTACACCCAAGCATATAACCCCACCCCAAATTTTTTTCAAGGCCCCCACATATGTATGCATGTACAAACATAAATGAAAACGACTGCAATACATGTTATATATCACCACGCACGGCAGAAAGAGCAATAATTCTAGCACCAGACCTTCTCCATAAAGCTAAACTGATGACCTACAAAGGGCTTTAAAAGCATCACCTTTAGAAAATATAGGGTTACTAAAGTTTTTTTGCCATTTCACGACTGCATGCAAATTTATGGTTTGACATGTTGGATATCCATTTACTCGATGCAACCTCGTCATTTATATTTTACCCAAAAAAAATATGAATAATTTATTGCTTTGTGCCCTAAAATTAACTTAAGTGTATCTTTTACTGAAATTTTGAGTTTCCTAGCCCTTTTCATAATATCGTGTGACATACAAAATGTAAAAACTACCACTATTTTTTATTTTCTAGGGTCTCTGCTTTCAGAAAATAATGTTTGGGGGTTT